TGTTAAAATAAGTGCAAAGATGTAACAGAAATGAAACTCAATTATTAAACGGAACCACCTGCTGCGTCGCTTCTAAAATTATCAGAACGGTTACGCCCCATTAAAATGTTGGCAGGATCGTGCTAAAAATGTTTATACATTTCATTCAATTTTCTCTATGGAGTAAGGCTATAAAAGTTGATTTATAAGGTTACAAATTTATAAATAGGAAATAATGGATACGATATGTTAGAAATTCACTCATTTTCTCTTACAGTAAAAGTAAATTGAGTAGAAAGTTGTTAAGTTAATATTATGCTTTAATTTTACAATAGAACGTGGATCGAACACATCTCGAACAATTCTGTACATTTACTTTGGAATTTGTGGGAAATTCTAGACACACATAGTAACTTTACTCTGCAGGGATTATTTGAGAATGGATAAAATGTTTGGGGATTGTTAATCATATTAGCATTCCCTGACGGTTCAGAACCTTTTGACTGTATTTGATGCTACTTATTTGCTACATGTATCCTCTACCTACTGAAAAACTTGGCCTATTATAAGACGTACACGTAACTTCTAATACTTCTAATGTAAATTAAGTTTTAAACTGTCAGTTCACTTCTTGCTAATTTTGCTTTACGTTGTATTTTATAAACGCAAAGAAAGGCATATGACTTAGGTGCATTCAATTCGTATTTAGTCACCATGAGTATGATGTCGCCACAGGTGTCGCCATGATTGTTCACTGTGAAAATTGGATAAAGTGTACTTACTGTGTACTGGTACTGGTACAATGTTGTTAAGACCAGTGATTCGATGTTTTTACAAGGATTCTTTGAAAAAACATCCAATCACAAGTTTACAACATTGTTAGCTGACAACATAGTTAAGGATGCTTCCTAATACCGGCCGTTAGTGTTTGAATTTTTAAGACGTAGGTTGTAATGTTTACGACAAATAGGGGGTGTCCATTAATCTAAATTTTGATTACTCTAAATCCTAATGTCAGTTTATGTATGTGGATGCAAACAGAATTAGTAATTGAGTTTTAATTGAAAAGCAACAGTTTCATGCGTAAGCGGGATAAATAGATCGTGATTGAACATAATTGATAACGTTAATCGCAAAAGGGTGAATATTAAAATGAGCTAATCGGTCTGATTGGTGAACCGAGGTTGGGTGGGGCTGTGTGCATTTTTGGGGTGTATTTATTTAAACGTGCTTTTTGTTGTTGTTGTAAACTCTGACTAGAGATTCTCTTTGTAAAGGCGGGGGATGGTTAGTTGTTCACCTTATTGGACACCAGGGGCCCTTGCAAAAGATTTGAAAAAGTCAAGAGGTAGATTAAAGAATTAATGGTCCTTACTCCGTTTGTAAATTTAATTTTTAGTTATTAAATTTATTTAATTATCATAAAAATGATAACCTGAAGTAGGTATTGTGTGGGTCTGGAGAAAAGTTATGCGTATGGTAGACATTACGCTTGAAATTTATTGTTGTAATCTCGGTTTTTTATTATCATAAAAGTGTTTACCATATTCCCGTTCTTTGGTGGTTACAGTCGTTTAACCTCTCTAAGTTTTGTATCTCTGGGCCATTTCTTTACTTTTTTTTACTGGATTACACGCCATGTGAAAAAATGAAGGGGTGAACTGGCCGACTGTGAATCGTATGCAGAACGATCCTGCCCTGCTATATGAATCAAGTATAAATTGTTCACAAATTTTGTGCGGATAAAGCGCATCTTTTTAAACCGAAATAGTTGGATTACCTATATTCAGTGGCGTATTAAGGGTCAACAACGCCCTAAGCCCTAACAGATTTTGCGCCCTATACCAGACACAAGATTGTTTAATAGTCAATAATAATCAGAAAAAAACTCGTGGTTAATCCATACTCTAAATGCGGTGATGAACCATACAGGAAATAAACAGGAATTGAGATGTTTATTTCCTGTATAGTCAATAATAAACCAACTTACGAAATTATCAAGACAAAATAAAATAAGCAGGTACATTTACACAGGAAACAAAAGGGTACTGTAACGTAAATTTAATTACGTAATTTATTTATGTATTTACAATTAATTAACAATAAATTTGTCTTGAAATAACAGTTATAACAGTTAAAATATTATTTATCACTTAAATATACACAATTTATAACAACGCAAACTATTTACTATTTTGGGGTTGAAATTGGAACTGACGAAACGATTCGATTTGCTTATATAGCATACGCCCCTGTTTCTCGAAATTTTTCGAACGCTTCCAAACGAGTATCCTAGAATGTTCGCGAATAAAACATTTCATATTTCCCAGAAAGAATGCATCACATCGTTACCACCCTAAATACAAACGGTCACATTCGCTTCTTATCGCCGATGACTAATCTTTTATGGCGCCTCGATGTATATGGGGATTTCTAAAATATTCGCTACTTAAACTTTTCCCCTTTTAAAACAAATGTAGAAAAATTCCTGTGCTCACAGTTCAGACAGTATATAATATATAAGTACGTAGGTAGTTATACAGGGTTTCCGAGACGGAGCTATAAGTGTCAAACGAGCGAAGAAAATAATCTGAAAATTTCGGGATCAATAAAGGGTGAGATAACGGGTCATATAAATTGCATTTTAGTTTGTTTAGAACTTTCATACACTGGAGAGTTTTGTTGGGGGGTGGTAACCCCAAAATTTTTAAATTGCAGCCCTTGTCCAGTTTCACCAGAGACACATTGCCGGTGATACACCACTCGAGGTTGCCAAAAGTTAGCATTGAATATATGTTAAACCCAATTTGTGTGACTGCGCATGCGCAAAACCAAAAAAATATCTCTACGCACGGAATCCTTGGAAAAATCCCTTTCAAATGAACCCTATATCGCCCAAATCGGTTCAGTGGTGTAGAAGGACTGAAGGAGTACGTTTGACGGACGGACGGACGATAAAGTGCAGCCAATAGCGATTTTTCACTTGGAGGAAAAAAATTTAGTGTTTACCACGGACGAGTGAGATCCGCTGACACGTCAGGATTTCCGTACTCGGCACGTACGTAAGACTTCCGACTTGTCAGCGAAAACTCACTTCTTTTCCTTGGTAAACAGTATACTATTATTCATAATATAAAACTGATACATCAAATCACATTCACTATACGAGATGACCGGAAGCCCCACCGGAAGATTCTCACCCACTTATCTGCACACATCAATTTTCTGTTTTTGTATAGTTTAAAGGGGGGCCGCCTTGCAGGTTTAAAAAATGTTTCGTGTGTGCATTTCATTTGAATATGTATAGGAAAATTTACATTTGTACCGCTTTATACAGAAAGTGAACTCAAGTAGGTCTGGCGATAAATAAGACCTTAAAATTGCGGGGGTTCATTCAGCTTATATAGGAGTAAACTCCATGAATACCATTGTGGTAGCATTTATTCTTAAATAAAATCAAAAGACCTTGGAAGTCTAGTAAAGTATAATTTTTGGGAAATGTACGAAGTAGAACTTTATACGAATTCAACTGGTTGACGACGACGTCTTTAAAACGGTAGCAACCCACCTCATCCGAATTGAATGCAATTTTCTTTATCCACTCCCTTACATCCTAAGCAAATAACTTTCTAGACTGAAATCGATTTAGGTCATTGAAAACTACCAATTTAAGGGCGTTCTAATTGAATTGTTCACTATACCGTTTCTGATTTTAATTAGAACGATCAAAAAGTAGTCAAAATGAAAATGGATACACGAAGTACTTTCAGAACAATATAGGTGCATCGCATACGTATTTCTGCAACAAAACAAAACGAAATACCTACATCACACTATTTTCAGTAAGTATGAAATAATTTTCAGTTCTCTTCTCGTGCCTTTGTAATATTTCAGTGTGGTAAATATTTTTGTTCCGTTGGTTACTTTAGTAACTAAAAGACGCACAGATTTATTTGTATTCTGGATACAATACGTGACATAATGCTGCGCGCAGTAAGCTTTCTGCAAAGTAGATCTTTGCATGCATGTAATGATACAGAATGGGAAAATTAGGCATGCACAATAAGGCGAAAGCTTTGTTTATTGTCTGCAAATCTAAACAGGAGATTTTTTACGAATGTAGTTTCTACAAAGTATTTTAAAACTGTATAATTCCGATAATGTAATGTGACCACTTTTGCTAAACATGTAACGGGAGCTTGTCGAGGGGTATGAAGTCTTTGAATGTTTGTACTTTAGCCATAGAAACTTCTAATTCAGCGGCTTTGGTATAATACCGCGTTAATGTCATGCAAAGTTAACGTGTGAATCGCAATTAAGTGCCTTGGGCATCTTTTGAAGTGTAGGTATACTCCGTAGAGGGCACATTGATTTAAATTAAGGGCGTCTTAACGTAGAAAAAGGACTTAGGGTGCGTGCCAAATGTGGTAGTTTCATCCCGGAAGTATAAAAGTAAAGTATCAAACTTTACTGTTGCTAGATGGCGATTTAAAACCACGGGTATTAGTGGAATGTAAACTAGGTCTACGCTTAAACTTGCTTGGGTTATCCTTTAATACTTGTTTTAAGGGCAGTTTACCCCTGTGCCCTCTGGCGGACTTTTGGATCAAATGGACCTGTAGTACGGGAGACTAGATGGATGAGTTGACTAATTACGAAAATCCGCTGGAGGTTGTGAATATTATATGGGTCAGAAACTGGAATTTTCATAGAAGCTAAATAATTTAAAACTCACCGAACTCGCCCTTTGAAAGATTTATAAAATATGCTTGAAAGCGCGTAAATTTTACCATTGTTTTTTTGTTCAGGGAAAAGACAAATTTGGAATGCGTATCCAGCTCTACTCGTATTTCATATTTGTACAGTTTCGGTGTTGTATGTCACTTTTCATATTGTATTCGTTTCTTTATAGAATTTAAATATAGGGAGAAGGGGAGAAAAATTCAATCTAATATGTAATTGTTGATTGAATCCTATAAAACTGAAAGCTATGTTGTGTTAAAATATTCATTTTGTTTCAGTAACCATAAACAACTCTGAACCTGTGGAACAAGAAACGGCGGAAGAGTCTGAGCTGAATGAAAAATTAGACGACTGTGATTCGAGAAAGACAATTAAAGTGAAACCCTTCGGAGGACCATTACTTGCACAAGTGTAAGTTGGTTTTAATTGTGTTCAATATGCTTCTTTAAATCCATGTACAGAATGTTCTACCGACTTCATCAAGAAACTTGATTTTATGGATGCGTAAAACAGTCATACTTACAGGTTATTTTTTATTAATTTATGTAACGGAAAATTTACACATACCTGGGAATTTAAAAGATTGGTAATTTAGTTGTTTCTGGGGATTGATCGGCAACAAAATTTGGGAAGGTACTTACAAAACGTTGCTTGCGAAAATGCAAAAGCAAAAAGATCCTATTTCATAGTGCGTTTATTATTTACCTAAACGTCGAGTAGGGACAAACTGGAACTTTCGTCTCGTACGCTTATACCTTCGATACGTTCAAGCAAATTAAAACTGATTTTAATTAATTACGACTTTCCCTGACATCGTAAAATTATGGGAGCGGTGTTCAAATTCAAATTCTTTAAGAGCGCGCTTAACGGATGTAATCTCGACTTAATCAGAGATTGTTATATGTAACTCATTCAACTAATTACGGTTAACTATACTTATCCAAATAGTTTGAATGAAATTTCCAAATTCAGCAGGCCAGCAATGCTCTTCTGTTCCTTGGAACGTGAAATAAATCTGTTGTCACGTTGATATTTGCCTTAAACTGCACGACCTTTCAGCTTTCAATTCGTATTGCATTAGAAAACTAAAATCAATTAATGGATAATTAAAGGACCAAACATTTAATAAGATTGATTCTTTCTCTTCTTCCCTGGCGAGAGAGCTTTCGGCGGCCGTTAACAGAATTTAGGTTGCAAAACGAATAAATTCACTACGAAACTTACGTGCGATATCGCCGGTAACAAAATTAAAACACAAAACTCACTCCTCGTCTCGATCAAATAAGTAAATTTCGAAACTACGGTTAATAACGAATCGCCTAACTTAAAACGCTTCTAGGTACTAGGCACCAGGCGGTCCAAATCTCATTTATGAACGGTAATGGATAGCCATCTTTAATGGTAACTTCGTGACTTGAAATCTATACAGAAGCGCCATCTTGCCATCTTTCTTGCGGACCATGACAATCGGCGAAGTCCACTGAATTTCAGACGGTTCTATGATGTTTTCGGCCAGCAGTCGATCTACTTCTCCGTTGACTAGAGCTTGCATTAGGGGATTTTGGGGACGATATCGTTGCTTAATCGATGTGAGATCTCGGAGTCGAATGTCATGCTCAATTAAACGACCAGCGAGGTTTTCGAATGCTTGTTATTGGGTTTGAAGAACTTCTTGTAATTGGGTTTCTTCGACGGCGGTTAACGGTGTGGTTGCTGAGAAACGGGACTAACTCGGGAACCAAGGAATAAAGTGGCGGGTTTGATGTTAAAAGGGAGGTTGGTTCGGGAAAGAAAAGCTATGCAAAGGAGTGCTTCATAACCGAGACCTGGGGCATGTTGGACTAATGGGAAAGTTCGGTTTTCAGGATGGTGAGCGGAGCAATACAAACGCTATGGATATTAACGGGCTGATTGGTAAAGCTCTTGGCTTGTTTATGTCTCGGCGGACGGACGGTATCGGTAACTAATATTATAAGTGGCGACATGTTTGTTTATAAATGAAATGGTGAATCCGTTGTCGATCAAAGCGGTAAACGGTTAACCATGAATTGCCTTTAAAAAACGGACGGGGATCGGTACCTTGCATCGCAGCAGAAGAGGAAGAAAGGTTATTGGAATTATGAACGGGATGGTTGGGCGGATTAGGTATTCCCTCCAAAACTAACATTCCGATCTCGAGTTTTAATTTTGTACGGGGTGGATGAAAGCTGAATTTGGTGCGGATTTCCAACAGGAAGATTATACTAACTATATAGCGTCGTCCAGACTGGAGGTAACTGTTGGGGTTGAGAAAATCCCTGAGCCGCGGTAACGTTAGAAAAAGTCGGCGGACAAAACGAGTGACTCATAATCGACGGTTGGGTAAGGGTAATGATAACGGTGGAGGGAGAAGTGTAAAAGAAATAGTCGGTGGAAAAGTTAACAGATGAGGTGCCATTTTCGGAAATAAAAATTAAAGATGTCGACGGTAACCAGAGGAAAAAAACCCAATGGTAAAAAAATTCAAAAATAAATTCACAATTCTTCAAAGCGGCATTATAATTGGAGAGGGAAAACACAATAAAAATTCAAAATTTAAAAAATAATGGTTATACAAGGTTTTATTCGCTCAATAAAACAAAAAACTCAGGGGCTCTTGTTACATTTGCACTAAAACCATGAAGATTAAAAGGGCCAAAAGGATAGTGGAAAGCTGTGTAGCCATTTTCTGAGTTGCGCTTGCTTTGAAAGCGCTAATAACAAATTCCTAACAAATTGGCTCTATACATTTTTGACGGCTCTCGTTAGAATTCCAGTTACTTCCTAGAAGTATAAATCACATCGCCGGGAAGCGGTGTACCATACACCTTAGAAAGATCTGAAAATTATCAGAAAGATCTCTAGATTCCTAGAAAGTTGTGTAAATTCCCAGAAAAGTCTGTAAATCCTCAGGTAAATTTATATATTCCCTGATGGAGCTCTAAATTCATAAATAATCTTAGATCTGTAAATTCCCAGATAGACCTGGCTTTTAAATTACCAGATAGTCAAATCCGTAAATTAATAAAAAAAAATCATTCGTATGACGCTACTATACGCATTTACCTCCCGCCATAATTTATTTACTTTCATCCGATAAATAATTTCACTAAAATTGTCCTCTTACTTTATACTTATGTTCTTACGTAACTTTTCAAGACTCAATTGATGTATTCGTGGATTTATGAATGAAATTCTTGACGAGTAGTAAAGAACGTCGTACAAGGCTTCGATCGCATTCAAAATCCACTATTCAGGTTCATTCTTTCTCATTAGGTAGTAAAAGCGAGGACAATGCGAAATTGTTTCTCTCACGATTGAAAACTCCACGTTTGTGACTGTTCTTTAAATCCGAAATAGACCTCGTTAATCAACGCTGTGTATAAATCGCGTTTATATTAAATAAAGCTTTGGATATTTCTCAAAGGAGAAGTTTCATGAGATTATATCCTCTAGAGTATTGGGAAAACATTGAACAGATATTGGATGGAAACACAATACATCATAAAATTCGTTAGCTTAGAAAGAAAATATTTGATGTTTATTCTCTTGTGAGAGATGGCGGTGAGATTTTTCATTTTCAACAAAAACTGTATTCGAATAAATTAAGGATTATTAGGGACAATGAAACAGATATTTCTGTCAGAAGACCACTTTCCTGAATTTAAAAACGCCCAAACGTTTTCGTACAACATTTTTAATTAATTGTCACCATGAAATTTATATGATTAAAACCGGCGTTAAATCATGCGGTTTTTTACCGAAGGCACATAAAGTATTAATATAAATCCAAAACAATTTTTTTGCAATAAAATGATGGTCGCAAATGTTTCGTTTGCAAGATATTCATAAAAGAGTCCTCAACATAGCATTTTTTTAAATTGTTTCCTCGAGAATCATAAGACGAAATTTTTTTTTTCTACAACTGTCAAAAAAACCTGTCATTTTCTGACGGATTTCGAAACGCGAAGTACTAGATTTTTAAACGGTTAATTAATAAGTAAGGTTGCTATTGACAACGTGCGCGAAATCGTCAACAGTGAAAAATAGTATATTAAGATACAAGTGTATAATCAAGTCTTTAAAGCACGCGCAACGAGTTTAACGCAAAGCGGAGTGCCTTTAACGTTGCAAGTGCTTTAAAGACCAATTATACACGTGTATCTTATAGTATTTTTTATTATACCTGCAGTATAATTTAAAAATAGGAAATACAATGAAGTCATATTGACGTTATACTCGAATACATGTTTAATTAAGTGGGCTGGGTGTTCGAAATTTCACGATTGCCATGGAAATGTCACTTGACGTTTGCTTATAATCATCATAATCTTTGTAAATAAAACGATTTCCGTTGAAAAAGATAATACACCGTCCATTAAATCGCTTGTTGTAAAATCTAAACAAACTTTGGTAGGTGTAAAATCCAAATCCAGTAAAGCCTATTATAAAGAATATGAAAAGTTGTTTCCATGGACGAATAGGAAGTTACTTACGAATACAGTCTTAAATGCATCCCTAATGCTGGCATATATGAAGGAAATGTCAAAGGTATTTAAATATTGTATATTTTGGTGCATTCATTCAAAACTAAAGCAATGCTGCGATTAAAAAGTGGAACAGATTTGGAAGCATACCCTAAATTACGCGCGTTTGTGAAAGCTTCAACCAAAGGATAGGTACAAAAGCCAAAGAAATGTTCTGCATTTACAGAAAGCGACCTAAGAGGATTTTTTATTTCATCCAGATGACAGTTTCAAAAGTCATACTTGAAGTATCGTTACTTAGCAACTTTAAAGCACGTGTGTTTTAAAGGCCCTTTTTCGCACGCATTTGAGTGTTTAAAACGGAGATTGTGATTCAGGTATAATAAAAAAGTATTTCGCGCACGTGACAAAGTTGAACTTAAACAGCAAATTTAATTAACAATCGGTTCAGTTGTAGAAAAAATATTGTATATAACACTAGCGCGAAGTTATTTCGCGCATTTGACTGATATTTTGACTCGGCTTCGCCTCGTCAAAATACCTTCAGTCTCAATGCGCGAAATTGAACTTCGCGCTCTTGTTATATAAATAACTATTATTAAATGCGGGGGTAAATGCTAAAACTAAAGTAACCCGTCCATAAAACTTCTCCCTAGTGATCAGCTAAGAAGGACGTGACTTTACAATTTCTGATTATTTACAAAAATTTCAAATTACTTATAAGCCGGTACGATTTGAAATGAAAGCCCTGTACAAAAATCAGAATTTCCAATCCGTTCGTACACAACCCTGTATAGAAAAATTAAAATAATATACTTTGTTAAGTAATCTTTTTTTCTTTTAGGGAAATATCGCTGAGTCAACAGAACTTTTTCAAAATGTTGGATGAAAAAATAGAAAATGTAAGATTACCGTAAAGTTCTTATTATTAAATGCGGGGGTAAATGCTAAAACTAAAGTAACCCGTCCATAAAACTTCTCCCTAGTGATCAGCTAAGAAGGACGTGACTTTACAATTTCTGATTATTTACAAAAATTTCAAATTACTTATAAGCCGGTACGATTTGAAATGAAAGCCCTGTACAAAAATCAGAATTTCCAATCCGTTCGTACACAACCCTGTATAGAAAAATTAAAATAATATACTTTGTTAAGTAATCTTTTTTTCTTTTAGGGAAATATCGCTGAGTCAACAGAACTTTTTCAAAATGTTGGATGAAAAAATAGAAAATGTAAGATTACCGTAAAGTTCTTACACGTTAACCACTAGTTATTTATAGGGTCCAGATTATGACGCGGCGTGCGAAGCAGAGAGAGCTGCGGAAGCGGCAAGATTACGCTCTTTACTACGGAACTGGGAAACTGCAAGTGCCGGATCGCGATCCTTGCCTACAACTCCAATTCGAAAAACAAAAGTACGCGGAAACCAGGAGAAACCAACCGATGGACCAATTCGTTCGAACGAACCCATACGATTAAATGAAAGGATTCATTCGCAGATTCCACCAAATGTTATACACCAGTCGTACGGGGTGACGCAGCCCGCTTATAGGCAAACTGTATATAATCCAGTCTACCAGCAGACCACTTCGAATTCTTACTCCCCAGCCATGCAGTATCAAGTGTTGAGTCCGATGTATATTAATCAGCAAAGCTATCAGCAACCTTCTCCAAAGCTTTATCCGAGTTACAACCAACATGGCAGCCCAATTAAAATGGTTTATCAAACCAATAACGTCAAACACATTCCTGTTGAGCAATCACAAATTAGTTATAGTCCGAGTCATAAAGTTTATGGATCTGTGCCAAAGAGTAGTAGCAGTTTTACAAACGGAGATCTTATAGTACAGCAACAAATTTATAATCAACAAATACAATATCAGCAGTCGCGGGAATATCAGCAATACAGGCAAAGTAAAGAACAAATGTTGCTGCAGCAGCAAGGATATCAATCCTCTAGAAGCTATCATAGCAGTGTGCATATTCCCATAGTCATGCATAATCAACAAAATGACGTGAGCCCTTTGCATAGAAAACAGTATGAGATGACGTGATTTGAAAGTGTCACTTAGGTATCAATAATTGGATTGGTGTTAAATGTATATATACTTAAATGTACTTTAATAAGTACCTATGTCAAAAGAAATGTCTATATATAGTTGAATGTATGTATATATATATTATATAGTAGTATACATTACTTTATTTATAGCATTACGCTTCCCTACGAATCTGTGCTTTGGTGCTCATTCATAAATTAATTATTGTAATAAATAATGCAAGGCCCAATATTACGCTCTATATTTACATCTAAGTAATGCTTGATTTTAGAACAACTGTTGCAAAATTTTACCCGTGGAGACCCAGCCAGGAATCTTTGATCGCTCGTACAAGCGTATTTGTTACTGCTAGTTTCACTTTTCGCATACAACGGTACCTCTGACAAGTCTAACGATCTATTTTCTCCATTACAAAGCATTATTATTGTTTACGGTTTAGCCGCGCCGATTTTAGGTTGTCACTCTTCATCTTCCTCTTTCTATCGTAAAGCATATCGACTTACATTTTGTTTAAATAAACAGCTGAAGGTTGAGTTAGAACGCATGGAATTTTAATTGCCATCATCCATATATATTGATCTCTGGCGATTGGATTTATAAATTTGGGATTCCAAAGTAATTTCAGACGGAATTTCACCTATAACTCATATCGTGAGAATATAATTTGCGTTCTTCCATCTTATCTTAAATACCGCCATTTGCATTTCGTACTTAGAGTGTACCTTTCTTTAGGTTTCGCCTGATATTTGTGTACCGCAATTTCCATCGACAGTTGCTGCTTTATCTACAATTAGCCATCTTATTTAAGAGGTATGTAAATTTTTAGGTTATCAAAGAGAGAGGTTATCTTTGATTTCTTCTAGGGTTTTAATTGTTAGTACCCGTTTAAGGACCATTTCAATTGTAATTTTAAGTACCACTTTTAAATCCGGATACGTTTGATTGTACCTACAATTCTTGTTCGACATACGAGTTTGGTAACCTTGGATTAAATCGGCCATTGCCTGCGAGTGCCAACACCGTTGACATATCTTTGCATCTGCTGATACCAAGCGGTCATTTTGCTGTGAAGTGGGTCAACGAGTCATGCATGAATGATAACAGCCGTTAATGGGCCCGTAAAAAAACTATGGTACGAAGAATCGATCTTGATGTCAACGGCTGTGCTGATTTAGAGAAAGAACTCGACCGAGCTATTTCCACCAAAGTTCTTTATTTTGTCTTCAAGCCCAAGAAGAGAATTTCCTGCCTATAATAATTGTATCAACATCATTGTCCAAACTGGAGTAAATAAGGTATGCATTTTTTTTATTATTCGAAGCATCAAATTGGCATAGGTTTAAAAAGAAAGTAAATTCATCAGTTGAAATTTAATTAGTCAAACGTTCAATAGAAAATATTTTCCAAATTCATGTGTCCACTCTATTTGTAATAAGGAAATGTGATTGTAAAGAGACAGCATCGTAAACTTTGTAACCAATGTATGCAAACCGTTGCGGTAATTTGGTGTTTGATTTGGCAAGCAAATTTTGCAATTAACTATCCACACCTCGGTGTGACCCCCACGGAGTCAATGGATTTGATGCATTTTCAATAGACTTGTTACATGTGGCATATAAGTCTACTTCCAAAGTTTCAACCGAATAGATTCAAACGTTTGGCAGGGCAGAGAAGCGTGACCCCAAGGGGTCATTGGATTTGACCCATTTTCAATAGGCTTATTACTTGTGGCATATATGTCAAATTTGCAAAGTTTGAACCAAATTGGTGGAAGCGTTTGACAGTAATCGTGTTCACGGACAGAAGGACACCATCGACTCTCCTATAAAGCTTACGTTGCTTTGCTTTGCCAGCTTAATAAGAAAGCTTATTTAAACACGCCTGTGATCGGGTGACCGTGACCTGCACCTGTTTCCACTTATCTATATCGCAAATGTAATTACATTTATTCCTAGCGCCAATTGCGGTTGTATATGCACCTATCGTATGAAACCGTTTACATTCCGCATGGAATGGAAAGGGTTTTGTTTTGTTTACATTTATGAAAGATTTTATATGTTATGCTTGACGTGCCACAAACACATTTACCAGATATGTAACGTGGTAAATAATAATAAATGAAATGAAATGCAATCAAAAGTTATGGACTAGAAACCAATTTTGAGTAGTAGCCCAATCTTGGTACTGTTTGAAATTATAGATTCTACAGGCCTCATTCTATAAGAAAATTTTTTTTCCGGACTTCCCTCAATCAAAAGTTATGGACTAGAAACCAATTTCGAAAGAGAATTCAAAGGGCTGTAACTTTTGATCTAGTAGTGAACCTTCCTTTTTTACCAAAAATCGACTACACCAAAATTTCTCAGGAAAACACTTTTTCTTATTAATGTTGGTGCGTAGAATCCAAAACAATTCGGGTTAGACTTCCCAATCAAAAGTTATGGACTAGAAACCAATTTCGAAAGAGAATTCAAAGGGCTGTAACTTTTGATCTAGTAGCCCAATCTTGGAACTGTTCTACAGGCCTACCATCATCTCTTGGTTTTGACATTGAATTTCTGGGTATTTTTCGCATTTTCTAACAATGTTTTGTTGGATTTTTGTTGGAAAGCCAGTTTCTGCACCACGAAATTCTATGCCTTACCCCCTAACATTGAACTCAACGCCCCTAATGAATACAACTCTGACGGTGAGTAAATTTATTAACAAAGACTGTTACAATTTATAATGCAGCAAGCAACAATATATTATGACTTATTGTAATATATTTTTATTGTTTTAGACTCATTCTTTTCTCTGTGGGTGGCAGCAGTGACGGTTGCAGTAAGGAAACCACGTCCATTTGCAGAAATCTGGAAATACAAGTCAGCTATGGAGTCACGTCAATTATGAGTACAACCAAAAAGTAGGGTACTCTTTGGTACAACTAATCGTGCGTATGAAATCGCTAAGAGCATCGGAACGCGCACGCATTACAGCATACACAAATGGGGTATCAAGATTGCCAAAAGGTGAAAAAACCTTGCGTTATGCGTTAGGTTTGTGTGTAAGGTTCAAAAAATCTAAAATTGAAATAATAAAAAGAAATAAAAAAATAAGGACTTCAAATAATTTAAACATTTCAAAAAATTAAGAGATTCAAAAAATTATTTCAAAAAAGTGATTAAAAAAAGTTTAAACGTGATTCAAAAAAATTAAGAGGATTCAAAAAAGATGAAAAGTGATTCAAAAAACTGGTGATCCAAAAATATATAAAATAATTAAAAAAATATAAGATGATTCAAAAAAGTTTAAAAGTGATTCAAAAAAATTTAAATGATTCAAAAAAGTTAAAAAGTAATTCAAAAAACTTAGAAGTGATTCAAAAAACTTAAAAGTGATTCAAAAAACTTAAAAGTGACTCAAAAAAGTTTATGAGTGATTCAAAAAAAGGTCAGGTGACTCAAAAAAGTTTAAAAGTGATTCAAAAAAGAAAAGATAATTCAAAAAAGATGAAAAGTGATTCAAAAAAGTTTATGAGTGATTCAAAAAAATTTAAAATGATTCAAAAAAGGTAGTGATTCAAAAAAGTTTAAAATCACTTAAGTTTTTTGAATCATTTCTAGGTTTTTTGAATTACTTTTTAACTTTTTTGAATCATTTAAATTTTTTTGAATCAGTTTTAAACTTTTTTGAATCACTTTTAACCGTTTTTGAATCACTTTTAAGTTTTTTGAATCACTTCTAAGTTTTTTTAATTACTTTTTAACTTTTTTGAATCATTTAAATTTTTTTGAATCAATTTTAAACTTTTTTGAATCACTGTAAACTTTTTTGAATCAGTTCTTAAACTACTTTTTCCCTTTTTTGAATCACTTAAATTTTTTTGAATCACTTTTAACTTTTTTGAATTACTTTTAAGTTTTTTGAATCACTACCTTTTTTTGAATACTTTTTTAACTTTTTGAATCACTACATTTGAATCTATTTTTAAGCTTTTGGCGAGGCTTTTGGGTTCTTTTTATGGAACTTTTTTAACTTTTGTTGTTTTTTTAATAGAAATTCAAAAAACTCGAAATAGAAAAATTCGAACATTTGAGGTGCATTTTAGGCTGACTTTTCACACCGACAGAAGAAGAATTCCCATTATCTAAGAAATCGATCTCATTTCACATTCTGTTGTTAACATAGTTTGTAAAAAATACATAATAATCTGAAATATATCCCTTACTTTATGATAACCTTCTACTTTGATTGACACATATTTTAACATATGATAGGTACCTTAGGATATTCTTAGTTGACGACTGGACCGTTGACAGTGCGCAATTCAATGTGGCATCCAGTAAACGTGCAGGATGCGTTTCATTGTGCTTCCTTCCCTAAATCAATGTTGCGGTTTGTGGGAAATCTCAGCGACCTGATACGGCAATCAACCATTCACCAAATACGTTGCTCTTCGAAGAATAAATTTCACATCAATGTATCGTCGGCGTCGTTTTGAGTGGATAGCGAGTAGGTAGGTTGTGCCTCCAGACAGGTCTGAAAAGTGAAATCGGATTGAAAAAGATCATAAGTATAAGCAAAGACAGTCTTTGGTTGCTATAAGCTTTGACTAAGTATATTGGTGGATAGGTAAGTATGTATCCCAGAGTTATAAGAGCGACGTATAAAAGAAGGAAACAAATTGAAAGGAAATCTTTCCAATTTTGCTGACCGACGAGGCAATCGATCAGCCGTAAACGGAACTCTAAAACCTTTATTAAGGATTCTCAGATCCTTTGTAATTTTGTATGGTTATCCGTCCGTCTGTCCGCCCGTCCGTGTACGCTATAACTTTTTAAAAGTGACCGATCTTATTGAAATTTGGTGTACGGGTGGTTTGAACATTATGGTAGGCTCAAAAGGAACTTCGAGTGAATCCGGGAACAAGATAACAGCGTGGACGGGTTATAATCATTCAATACAACTCCCCTATGTGGTCTCGATCAAAAGTTTTAGAGCCAAATGTACCAAAAATTATTCTTTACACATTTGATAATCGAGTACTTATACTTAGGTGATTCAGAAATACGCCAGTGCTCGACCACAAAATTGAACCGTATTTTCTAGTCATTAATTTGATTCTACTAGGTATATTTTCAATAAATATGCATTATTATGTATTCAGTAAGCAAATAATTGTAATTCGAGAGTTTTGAAAATGGCAAATGCAGCACAACCAAATTTCTCATTAATATTGGAAAACTAAG